TCAGATGGTATTAATTTGATTTGTGCAGGTCTTAAAAAGGTCTTAAATTTGAGCTTAAAAATCCTGCAGAAACCCTGTCATATCAACTTGTGGAAAATGGGCATCCGATGACCCCTTTAAATATAATTTATTCCTGATGGCAAAGCTGAATTTTCAGTCTTCAGTGTCACATGATCCTTCAGAAATCATTCTAATATGCTGATTTGGGGATCAAGAAACATTTCTTATTTGAATGAATAACAAGTTTGGGGGAAAACAGAATTTATTTGAAATAAAAATGTTAACATTATAAATGCTTTACTGTTATTTTTGAACACATTAATGCATCCTTGCTGTATTATTTTGTTTAAAAAAAATCACACTGACCCCAAACGTCTGAACAGTATTTTAATCTTTTAATACTTAGTAAGTACATTTTATTTATATAGCACATTTAAACATAGCAAAGCTATAGTATCCAAAGTGCTAAACAAAGTAAAAGAAAGTTAAAGACCAAACAAAACAGGCAATAAACCAAAAATACATTATTGTAAATACATACCTGCCTTTTGTTTTATTTTTATTTCCTAGCAGTCTGATGAGAATATGTCTTTATATGTTTGTGGTTCAGATGTATGCAAGAGCGGTCATGTGACGTGTGGTTTTTAAAGTGTCTATAGGTGTAAGCAGACGGGGGCTCCCCATATACCTTTTTCCGTGACAACCATTTCCATACTGATGGGAGAGGTTCTGTGGTTCTAACTGACATATTTCGTAACTTCCGTTTATCTTTGTGTCTGTGTTTGTTTTCCTTAGTGACGTGTTGGCTCTGCCCATCTTTAAGCAGGAAGATGTTAGCGTCCCTGTGGAGTCTGACACCAAGAATCCTCCGTTTCAGTATGTGCTGTGTACCGCCACATCCCCTGCTGTTAAACTGCACGAGGAGACGCTCACCTACCTAAACCAAGGTATGATTTTCATTAACTATATTTCTTTCTCTATTCCTTAGAGAATACCAAGACCCTTGTTGAGAAGATTTTCAGTAACACGCTTCCCCTCTCCCTCTGTAGGCCAGTCGTATGAGATCCGATTGCTTGATAATAGGAAAATAGAGGAGATGCCTGAACTCAACAACAAGACTGTTAAGGTGAGAGATTGTGTGTGTTTTATCAGTGCTGTGCACTTGTGGTTTTGTGTGGTGTGGTATTCAGTGAATCTACAACAACTTGGCAAAATTAATTGTATTTATGTTGAGAGTTTGCCATATAAATTGAAATTGGAAAGGAAAAAAATTAACAAGGAAATTTGTTCTACAGAATAGTTCAAATCAACCGGTATGTTTTTTATGACCAGTATGATACTGATTATTTTTAGACTTAAGTGTTTTTGTTATTCATACTTTTTTAGATTAATTTCTGTTTTTTTATTTTATAATAGCTAAATGGTTGATCACAAACCTTTCAAGGCGAGTGGATGCTTTATAAGACTATAAAATTGCGATGAATAATAAAATTAATAATAAAAAAAGATTTGAGTGACACATTAAAGGGATAATTCACCCAAAAATAAAATTCTGTCATTAATTATTCTCCCTCATGTCGTTCCAAACCCGTAAGATCTTTGTTCATCTTCGGAATCCAAATTAAGATATTTTTGATGAAATCTGAGAGCTTTCTGACCTCCATAGACAGCAACGCAACTGAAATGTTCAAGGCCCAAAAGGTAGTGAGGACATCGTTAAAATAGTCCATGTGACATCAGTGGTTCAACCATAATTTTATGAAGTTACATGAATACTTTTTGTGCACAAAGAAAACAAAAATAACACCTTTATTCAACAATTTCTTCTCTTCCGTGTCAGTCTTCGAAGTGCATTCATTGTGTGGCGCTGCTGATGCTCTGACGTTGAACCCGGATGCGCTGTGCCTTGTTTACAAGCAGAGGAAGACGCACGCACGCTGTACATAAAACAGTCTTCGTAAAAATGTCTGAAGATTTCGACAGAAAAGATGACTTGCAATTTTTTTGCACAGCCTTATTTGAATCAGAATATACAGACGATGAACGCTGGCGCATGCACTACACACATGCGTCGTGGTACCCTTGTGAGCGCATGGGGAAGACTGACACAGAAGAGAAGAAATTGTTGAATAAAGTCACTCATTACTTTTGTTTTCTTTGCGTGCAAAAAGTATTCTCATAAAATTACGGTTGAACCACTGATATCACATGGACTATTTTAACGATGTCCTCACTACCTTTTTGGGCCTTGAACGTGTCAGTTGCGTTGCTGTCTATGGGAGGGTCAGAAAACTCTCAGATTTCATCAAAAATATCTTAATTTGTGTTCTGAAGTTGAGCGAAGGTCTTAGAGGTTTGGAACGACTGAGGGTGAGTAATTAATGACAGAATTTTCATTTTTGGGTGAACTATCCCTATAAGTTATTTGTGAACAGTGTTGTTTACTGGCACAGTTTTGTAATGGCATTGTTACGTCCATTTATCTGTAAACATAATTTATATAAGTTATTTTTTTTATGTAGATTTAACATCTTTACTATCACTTTTGATCAATTTAATGCATAAGTGCTAAATAAAAATATTTTCTTTAAAATAGAAATCTTACTGATCCCAAACTTTTGACCAGTAAATAGACAACATTTTTCTTCCATTGTCTTTGCTGGTCACATACATAAATAAATAATACAGTGTGATCAATGTAGTCTGATTCATGAACAAATGACTCTTAGAAGTAATTTCTTTGAATGATTTGTGAACTACTGTTTTGAATCAGTCTGAGGAATCCCTCATTGAGTGAATGCACTGGTTTAACCACAGTGGACATCTACACAGTCTTTTTATATCATCAAATTCAATCCCGGCTTCAACATCGCAACTAGGATAACATGTCATTTGTTTTGCCATGGTGATTCAGCAGTGCAGGAAGGACGGGTATGGTGTATGGCTCTTTAAGAGTGCTGCTTTTTGTGTTTGTGTGTGTTTGGTTTGGGGTGAATTATAGAGTATAGTTAGGGTGGTTTTCCATGACCGAAGGCTTCAGTACATGGAGCACCAGCAGCTGGAGGGCTGGAAATGGAATCGGCCTGGCGACCGCCTCCTCGACATCGGTGAGAGCTTATGTGTTTACTTGAGTTTGCTGCCATCAATTTGCTCAGTCTTTTTGATTCATCAGGTAAATAGTATCAAAGCAGCATAAAGCCTCAGGAGAGAGAGTTTTTACAGTGCGTCATGTGTTTGTTACAGATATCCCCATGTCAGTTGGCATCACTGAGCCCCACACACACCCGTCACAGCTAAACGCTGCAGAGTTCCTGTGGGATCTCTCCAAGCGAGCATCTGTGTTTGTGCAGGTAAACCCCAATTCAAGATCAAACCACAAACATGCAGCCATGTTGTTATAGTTTAAAGGTTACAGAAACATACTACAGAGTTTCAGTTTGAAATGTAATTTCCAAATAGCTCTTGGGGCAGCCTAATGTATGATGTACAATGTTGCAACAAGTGTAATAAAACATTATGGACATAATGTTTTATTACACTTGTTGCAACACTGTGCATAATATTTTTCTGCATATACCTGTTGATAATTAACAAGGAAGTCAACAGTTGGGACACTATTTTTCAACCAATTTTACACATTTTAGGACTTTTTTTAATGTAAGCACACTTGATTTGTAAATGTAAATGGGTTGGACAATTTTTTTTAATTCAAATATCAGAATTGCATTAGACTTTGCACTGTAATTGCAATAGACCTGTTGCTGTTTTATTATATTATTAATATTAACCTGTATATTTAAAGCAATTATTTCTGTCTGTTTACTTGAATATTTACATTCATTTTATATATATATATATATGTATGTGTGTGTGTGTGTGTGTGTGTATGTGTGTGTATATATATATATATATATATATATATATGTGTGTGTTTACTTTAATAAGAAATATAGAATGTAATAAGAAATAAGAATGTAATTTAATATTTAACATTTTAAAATATGTGCGTGTTCTATGTATGTTACATTAAATTACATTTATATTGCATTAAATTATTAAAATAATATAACCATTGTAATACTGTATTGTCATCAATATATTTTGCTGTGGTATTAAAATTGGTATTAAAGGGGTCATATGATGCTGCTAAAAAGAACATTATTTTGTGTATTTGGTGTAATGAAATGTGTTTATGCGGTTTAAAGTTCAAAAAACACATTATTTTCCACATACTGTACATTATTGTTTCTCCTCTATGCCCCGCCTTTTTGAAACGCGTCGATTTTTACAAAACTGGAAGGCCAACCAAAGTAGTTTCGCTTTCACAACAAAGCACACAGCGTCTTCAGGAAATGGCTGCAGCGTCAACAATACAGCGAGAATAAAAGTTACGCCTTCTTTCTTTGCGTGAACATTTGGGCGGTGTTATGCAAATCTTCCCAGATCGTGACGTAGGTATGTGGGGGCGTGTTAGAACGAGCCGTTTTAGGTAGGCGTGGCTGACTCTTAACTTTTATAAAGAATATCTCTTTGGTTTTGAGACTTTAGTGTTTGCAACTTTACAGATCTTCTTTATGCACCAAGAGCTTGTAACACTCCAAAGAGAAAGGAAAAATTGAAATCGCAACATATGACCCCTTTAAGAATTGTGAAATTTTTACTACATTGATATCAAGTACTGAAACTTTGATGTTTATACAACCTTATTTAGGACATATTACTTGAATTTGGTTGAATAATCATTCGCTGTTTGCTCTACAATGCTTCTCTGTGGAACTTTCTTATACTAGTTGCCCCTGTATAATATTATTAATTATGTTTCTGCAAAAATTGAGCACATAAATGTGCAGTTGAGCATTCACTGGTGTGTAATGCTTCAGGTCAATATTAAATTCTGGCTGGCAAGATCCTCACAGCTGTTTTGTGTAGTTAATGAATAGAACATGCCTGAAGCACTATCTCATTGGCCAGAAATTCTCTCTCACACTCAAAGGAGCTATGTAGATGTTGTGCCAATAGCGTCAGACATGTTTGAGATTATCTTAAAGTCCCAGACATGTTGGAGAGAGTCTGATTAGGGCTACTAGCTCTTTGATATTATCTCTTGACCTTCAATCAATTTCCAACATCTGAATATCATTCCAGTTGATTGAAAATGTATCTGGCACATCCTAATCTGTGCAGAAATAGTGCAATGGATGCCAAGGATCTTCTCAAGAGTGCTTCAGGAACCGATCATGTGTTCCACATTAATTATCTTTCCTTCCTTCCCTTATTGAAGGTTCATTGCATCAGTACAGAGTTCACCCCGCGGAAACACGGTGGAGAGAAAGGAGTTCCGTTCCGGATCCAGATTGACACTTTTAAACAAAATGAAAGCGGAGAGTACACCGAGCACCTGCACTCCGCCAGCTGCCAGATCAAAGTCTTTAAGGTGATGCCACACGCATGCAAACATGCATTAAATGCAAGGAAATATCTGTGGTGTTTGGTTGAAGATTGCAGATCTGAATCCATTTCACCCTTGTATTTCCTATATTGAATGCTTAATGGGTATGTTTTGAAGCATTAATGTGACATTGAAGTCTTTAGTATGTATTCAACTGTAACTCATACTCTCCTATTAACAGCCAAAGGGAGCAGACAGAAAACAAAAAACAGACCGAGAGAAGATGGAGAAAAAGACAGTGCAGGAGAAAGAAAAATATCAACCCTCTTATGACACCACTATTTTGTCAGAGGCAAGAATATTCAAGTATTTTATGTTTTGTTTTGTCACCTATTAATACTGACACCTATTGACATGGATACAGCATTACATAGAAAATAAAAAACTACTACTGGCTACTAATTGTACAAATAGCCTCTTCATAGATGTATATGTCACCCTTGATTAATTTAGACCGATAATAAGGGGTTGCTGAGATAAAGCAAAGAGCATTTAGCTGGTCATGTTACAGCCACCATATGGCAGGGACAACTTTATATTGAGTTTAATATCAGTGGCCTAAAATTAAATGTGACTGAAGTCTCCATCTTAAGTCAGTGTACATCATTTCACACATATACTATAAATACTATTCACTCCTGTAGGAACTTTCCCCTTATTTCAGAAAATTATGCTATTCTAGTATTTAATTATATTTTGATTTAGCTTTTATTTTTATATATTTTTTTCATTTTAGTTTGTTTTTGCTTCTGTTTTCTAAATATTTCTGTTTAGCTTTGGTTTATTTCTATTTTAGTTTTAGTACTTCCACTTATTATATTTAATTTAGTTGCCAAGTCAACATTTCAAATTTTCATTTAAGTTTTTTAAAAATCTAATATATATATATATATATATATATATATAGATAGTTTAATTAATTTATATAGTTTAATTAATTTCAACTTTTTCAATTAACCATAATAAGTCTTGGTTAGAAATAACAACTCTGCTCAAAAAACAGAAATGATTGATGTTGATGAACAACATTCCTTCCAGTTTATCACCTATAACTAGCAAAGAGCAAATCATGGTTAATGGTTATAACAAGTAATTAGCTGTTGAAAAAAGGGACAAGCCCTTTAATATGTTTTACCTAAACTTCCTGTTTCAGTAGGAAGAACATCAACACAGGTCAGAAAACTGACTGTATTCTAATTTACATGTGTCTGTTTTTCTCTGTTTTTTTCACTGTGGTTTGTCTCTTTTTGCGTAGACTCGATTGGAGCCTGTGATTGAGGAGGCTGTAGAACATGAGCTAAAGAAATCCAGCAAGCGGACACTTCCTGCAGACTGTGGCGATTCCATCGCCAAAAGCAAAAGAGGAAGTGTAAGTGCCCACTCACCTCTGCTGCGTTAACAGTTCACTCATTCAAAACTCCAAAACATGGTTCATATTTGTTTTTAGATCAGTGTCCTTCATCAGTGTGTGGCGGGTCATACGTTAGTCTGACATCAGAATTCAGTTTTGTTTAGGATCACTTTGGACTTTTTCTCACATATCTCTCTTTCTCTCATTGTAGTGCTCTCCATGGCCAGATAATGCATACGTCAACCCCAACACAGCAGCTACACCGACCTTCACCTCCAGCACACACACCTACAGCCCTAACAGCACAGTACCAGACAGGTGACACACTCATGAAGCGTCTCTGTGTTTCTTTTACATTGTGCCATGAACCACAGTTAGGCTTTACCTAATGCTTGTACTTTTGTTTTCAGTGAGTCGTCTTCACCTAACCATCAAGGGGATCTTGGTAGCCTCATGTCTATGGAGGTTTGTACATGTTTATATATTAAATCTTTACTAATTTGCCTTAAAAGATGCACATTTGTTTTTCTTTTGCATCTGAAAAACATAAATCTGTGAACATTTTGCAGTCTCTGAGTCCCACAGCATCTATACAGGACACACAGAAGTGGATGCTTAAGAACAGATTTAACTCATACAGTCGTATTTTCACCCATTTCTCAGGTATTTACACAGTTTCTGTTGCAAAGATTAAACTACACTAGGGCTGGGTAAAAATATCTGTATATGAAGAATTGCAGTCTTCATTTGAATCATCCTGATATCGATTCTTAGTTGTCCTCACAAAGCTGTGTAAAACCAAACATACAGTGTATTCTAAATCATGAACAAATGACTCTTATGAACTGTTTTTTTAATGAATAGTCCAAAAAGATAAGTTACCAGTTTAAATCAGTCTGAAACGGTTGCCTAATACAATTTAAAAGAATCTCTTTCTTATAAACATAATCAAATAGGGCATTAAGACTGAAATATCGAAATAGACTGAATCAGAATTTAATAGAATCTAGAGTTCTGAATCAGAATCCAATGGAAAAGGGAAATCTGTGTAATTATCCAGCCCTAACAGACACAGCATTAAACTATAAGTAGTTATAAATAAGACCAATTTGATACGACTGATTTTTCATCTTAGGTTCTGATCTACTGAAATTAACTCGTGAGGATTTAGTCCAAATTTGTGGTGCAGCTGATGGAATCAGACTCTACAATGCACTTAAGTCAAGGTATGATTAAAAGAAAATCACAAGTGATGTTAATATATGATTGAGGAGTTTTCTTACCATTATGAATGTGTAAACTAAAGAATTCTGTTCACATTGTGCGTGTTTGTGTCCCCGTACAGAGCAGTGCGTCCCAGACTCACAGTTTACGTGTCCCTGGAGGCGTCTCAGAGTGAGAGCCCTCTACTGGAGAAACGTGGCCACAGCAAAAACGGCGAACACAGCAGTCCAACATCCATACCTGGTATATAAATATCAATCGTGGAGACTTGCACAGCCATTCCTAACATACCACAATCATAACAAATAAATAACATCTATCGTGTGGCAACAACAAACATGCAGTGCAGGATTATTCAGCAGCACTGAATTGCTTGATCTATTGTACGAACCTTCATAACCTTTCCACCAAAGTAATACAAATGGTGAACCAAAAGGTGTTCACTTTTTTCATTTTTCTGATACTCAATACCACATAATGTAAAAAGTGTAAGCTGCATGACTTAATCAAAATGTAAGGTAGTGCTCTCAGTTTGCTTGATTTTTTGTTTTTGTTAGTTTTTTTGAAATTGGTAACATAAAACAGCAACAGATGGCGATGTTTAATGCATTCACATTAATGAACATTTTTCAATCTAATAATTACTGAAAGTTGTAAGGAATTTGAAAACCCCACAATCATACACATTAGGCTGTTACATTACAATATTCAAACTATTACAAGATAAATTGCAGGGCAGACATGAGACAAATTAGCACAAATTAGCAAATCAAAAGTTGATAAGTTCAGTATGCTTTTTTAAAAGAAATTAATAGCAAGGATGCATTAAATTGATCAAAAGTGACAGTAAAGCTTTTAATGTTGTTACAAAAAAGTCTGCAGTTCTTTTGAACTTTCGATTTATGAAAAAAATTACTGAAAAAAAATGTCACAGACAGTTTACCTAAAAATATTGAGCAGCACAACTGTTTTTAACATTGATAATAATAAGAAATGTTTCTTAGAATGATTTCTGAAGGATCATGTAACACTAAAGACTTGAGTAATGCCTACTGAAAATTCAGCTTTGCCATCACAGGAATAAATTACATGTTGAAATATATTAAAATCGTTATTTTTATTATATTAAAATGGTTATTTTAAATTGTAATAATATTTCACTGTATTACTGTATTTTTAATCAAATAAATGCAGTCTTGGTTAGCATAAGAGACATTTTAAAAAACGCTTAAAGATTTTACCTACCCCTTCTGTAAAATATAAAAAGCTTTAAATTAAAAAAATATATATGTAAAATAATAATAATCTTACCGACCCCAAACCATTAACGGGTAGTTTGTAAGATAAAGATGCAACCATAAAAAAAGCCATAATACGAAAAAAAAAAACTTGTTCCTCATCCTGCTCTCGAAAACACAACACCATAACAATTGACATTTTACATGGCAACAAGACCACACCTCAAACCCGACATCATTCTCTCTGCAGCCACTTCTAATAACAGACTTAAAACGCTGTGCTCAGACCCCAAACTCATTTACCAAGAAATAATCAGGTTTCCTAATTACTGGTTACCTAATAAATGAATTCTATAGAAATTCACAGATGAATATGTTTGTTCATTTGGATAAATGAAGTATTTAATGTTTTATCAAACACATTGCATCACAGCCAATTGTAAAATTGTTGCAAATTCCATCGTGTTTGTCTCTCATTAAATAGGTCAAACCCTTTCTGTTTGTATTCTTTTGGTTCTGCAGATGTAATATGTTTTTATTTAGGTCAGTCTACTGTGAAATCTACAATCATTGTTGGTCTTGTTTTAAAATGTGTCTGCGTTTGTGTTTAGTTTACCACGCTCTTTACCTTGAGGAGATGACGGCTTGCGAACTAACTAGGAAAATCTCCAGTGTCTTGGCACTGCCGCTGTCCCACATCAACCAAGTCTACAAACAGGGGCCCACAGGGATACACATACTACTCAGCGACCAGGTAAACACAGACCTACATCACAGATTCATGCAACCACACTAAAAGCAGCCAGAAACAGTCTCTTCTCTTTCCCTGTTATCAGGTAGCGGTAATAAGTTGGCCAACTGTGGCTGCTCATTTGAATAATTTTTTGCATCATGCCACAGATAAAACACACTTCATTGTAGACTTTTTTTTCTGCTGTTATTGTCATGAATAACTGGATCATGTAGGTGAAGAACATCATGTGACAGATTTGTCTAGTGAATGGTAATGCCATGTATTAATGGAACAGAATGTAAATGTCTGTTACACTCATCAAGGCTACATTTATTTACATTTATATTACAATGTAAAATAACACTTTTCTATTTTAAAGGGGTCATATGATGTTGCTAAAAAGAACATTATTTGGTGTAATGAAGGTTTAAGGTTCAAAAAACACATTATTTTCCACATACTGTATATTATTGTTTCTCCTCTATGCCCCGCCTTTCTGAAACGCATCGATTTTTACAAAGCTCATCTCCCTCTAATGGCAAAACTTAATTTTCAGCAGCTATTACTCCAGTCTTCAGTGTCACATGATCCTTCAGAAAACATTTCTTATTATTAATATTGAAAACAGTTGTGCTGCTTAATATTTTTGTAGAAACCATGATATGTATATATATATATATATATAAATATATAAATGACTGTAGCAACAAATGATACTGACTACACTTAACACTGATATGATTTAAAATGTAGTCCTAAAGATCATATTTGGAACAAATCTGTGTAGTGCGAAGAAGACTTAGTAACTCAAATATATCCTAATATATAAGATAATGCCTTACAATCTTTTTTTTTTTTTGCTTACAGATGGTTTATAACTTCCCAGATGAGAGCAGTTTTATTGTCAGCACAATACAAGGTAAACATTTTCAAATAACAGAGAATCTATGGCGGAAACATTTCATTAAACCCCCTCACTGCTTTTCTTGTTCTCCAACATTTCTGTGACTTTTATTCATCCTCAGATGACACCAGTGATGGATTTCACCTAGTCCTGAAGTAGAGCTGCTGCAAGCAACGTGAAGCAGAGTGTGATGACATCTCAAGGCCTCCATACTGCCATTCTTGAGCATTGAACATGTTCCCTCCATCCTCCTCTCTCTTCCTTTCCTCATCTCTCTCTCGTTCTTCACGTCTCGCACGTCGGAGGAGAGAGAGATAGCTGGGGTTGGGCAGGGCCTCCTAACTGTTAGAATCTGACTTCAGTGTGTAAATTGTTTCATATTGAAAACACTTAAACTGATGCCAGTGTGTGCGAGCAGTGGGCTTTTAAGTATGCGTGCGAGTGCGTTTTTAAAGGTTGAATCGGGAGGGATGGAGGTGGGCAGAAACCGCAAGGAAGTGGAGGAGAATTGTGACCACTTTTACTTCAGCATGATGTTCGTGGAAGAATCTGAGTATCCGGCGCCGCGATACGGCTGTGCTCAGACTCTGTCCTCACTTTGCTAATTATGAACGTACAGTACTTACTTTAGTTTGTCTGCCTTTTGTCTGCGAGTTGTCAACCGTTTCGCTTCCTTCCCCTTCGGATTGGCCTGCAGATGCTATCACAAACCCCTCGGTAGATAGTAATGACCTCTTTTTTAAATGTGGGGAAACGCGTCCTGACTTAGGCATGCGCAGGACGTCTTTATGTCTGTCTGGCTGAAATAATTCCTTGAGTTTGAGTACGGTGCCCTGCAGCTAGCGTGAGGTTGTGAGACTCAAGTTTCGGCTGTATCCTACTCTCGTAGATGACATTGTCAATGCTGATATTGTTTTCCAATTCCTCTCTCAAGACCAATCGTTTCTGGTGCCATTGTTTCTATTGACTAGATTCTGTTAGTTTCTTAGCATTTACTTTGTGCTTAACGGGATGAATTAAGTGTCACCTGGTTCCACATGTTTAGAATTAAATTATGGTTTTTAGATTGTGATTGTCGTGTTTCGGATTCTCTGTGCCCGGTAACTGCGTACCTGCCCTTTATAGTAGCTCCTGGCACAGATTATAACACGATTATTGATAAATGTGCACAATCACAAGCAGCCATAAATTATATTTCCCATAATGCCTTTGCTTTCTATTATCTTAATTTTTTGACCTAGGATATGACGTCGGCTGGTGCTTTTCTAAATGCACACGTGGTTTACCGTCAGCTGCTCCAGTTAAACCTAGCCATCATGGCTGCGGTCAGCAAGCCTTTTTTTTTATTCTTTTTTTCCTTCTTAAATAGAGACTGACTCAATAGGTCTTCTATCTTAGTAGTCATGTATTGGGCAGCTGTGCTTTGGCATGTACTGTGCTTATTATTGCCACTTTATAGAGGAGCATGGTTGTAAGAATGTTGACTCCTTTTAATTCTCATAAAAAAAAATAAAAAAATAAAAAAAAAGGAATGACCAAGTCTGCACTGAAACTGATACCACAATGAAATGGATACTTTGCTGTTGTTGGATGCTCACTTAGACTTTTGGTGTACACAGTGTTTCCAGGTTGAACAAATGATCCAAGTGTAAATCCATGAAGAGGTGTGTTGTTCTCTTCCTCTGATCAAATGCTGTGGATCACCGGACTGTCCTCTGTGTTTCCGTGATGATAATCATGGTGCCCTCATGTCACTGTCTGTCTAAAGAAGCCTCTCTTCCATAGGGGGTGCTGAGATGTACACAATTAATGCCTGTACCAGAAATAAAAATAATTTTCATATATTGTCTCTGACGTACTTCTTCTATTGCGAAGTAAGAGGATAATTAATTTGATAGTTAATTATGTTGAAGGGAAACTGGGGTAAACTTTTTAAGCTGTTTTCTAGAAAAAAAGAAATGAGTGTTAAAAGTAATGTTCCTAATTTGAAGGATGTCTGCAATTAAATTATCAGACATTCATAACATAGGGACATAGATATCCAAATTAAATATATATATATATATTAATATTAATCTAATTTTGTAATAGTATTCATTTAAAGCTCAGAGCTATGATACATGGGGAAAATGCTTCAACTAATAATTCAGGAATAATCTTTATTAAATCATTTACATTGTACATTAGCATTTCACCAACATGTATGAGATTTAAAATGAGATTTGTTGGTTAAATTAATTTAGTGTGCAATGTAGATAAATGTATTTTGTCATACAAAATATGTGGTACTACTTTACAATAAGGTTCAATTAATTAACATTGAAAAATACTTCTAAAGCATTTATAAATCTTAATATCAATTTCAACATTTACTAAAATACATTTTAATGAATGCATGCATAAAATGTATCTGTTAATATTATTTAATGGACCTGAGCTAACATGAACCAACAATAGAACGGTCAAGTAATGTATTGCTTATCGTCAGTTCTTGTTAGTTAATCCATTAACTAACATTGACAAATGGAACCTTATTGTAAACTATTATCAAATATGTTTAACAATAAGATTCTTATCACTTTTGCCATGCTTCAGGTATTATTACAGACTGTATGTGATTGTAAATATATGGTCAGAAGACTAAATGGATGAGTCATTGGGAGAACGGGGTAAGGTGTGTCAGAAGGACACACCTTACCCCATTCTCTCTTATCTTGAACTATATACGTGTATATTAAATTTCTATATGGATCAAACTGGGGATTCGTCTGTCACTTCCATAGAGGTCACTTCTTAAACTCATCGTCCAATTCCCAGTGATTTATTTTTTATTTTTTATAAAAACTTCAGAGTGATTTACAGGTAGGCTACTGTACACTTACTAAGAAAAGTTTTGTCATGCACCTGATTAGTTATGTTACACCCAGCAAAAACTTGATATGAATGCAAAACGTTGAATTTACTGCATCTATAGAATTTATACTATACTAAAATACAGTTCTACATAAGCCTCCTGTGCAGGAACATGGAAATAAAACGCTATTTACATATTTATGGATTTAAATGGAAGGACATTTAACGTGTGTGCGATTACACCAGCGAGCGCAGAATGCGCATGCGTTACTTCGACAGTGCATCTGACGTGATGACGCACTCCGGAGAACCAGGAAGTGCTCTGCCTTTGTTTTTGTCCGTCTGCAGTGTTCTCATTCGCCACTAGAATTGTGTTTCACGCGGGCCCAAATGGCGACGTTTATTTCTGTCCCGTTGAAGAAGTCCTCGGAGGTCGACTTAGTGAAACCATTGTCGAAATTTGTAACGTCCACGTATCCTCCCGGTGAGGAGCAGACGGAGTCTCTCCGTGCCGTGGAAGAGCTCAATAAGCTGCGTAAAAGTGCTCTTGGGAGGCCGCTGGACAAACACGAGAGCTCGCTGGAAATCCTGCTGCGGTAAGAGCCTGACAGGACAACTTGATTACGAAGTTTCAATGGGTGTTTATTTCTGCTGTCTGTTAAATATTGACAGCTCTTGTTTCGTGGTTTGTTATTCAATCTGTATGATTTAACGTTACTAAAGTGCCGATTATTTTCTGTTAGCGGATAGCAGAAGATGTCTAAAGCACAGGAAGCTAGCAAGTTTAATCCATTTTTATGCCGCAAACGTGCGACAACATGTCTCCATTTTATGTAGAGTTGATAATATCTGATAACAGAACTAGTTTCTTTAAGAGTTTAGCTTATGTCAAGAGTTTATTATCTGTTTGCTTCATTGAAATATAAAACGTGAACTGGAGGTGTTACTCATGCTGGTTGCCCTGTTTGTTGCTCAAATGAGTGTATTTACGTCTACAATTAGTAACGTTATGTCTTATTGTTTTAGTGTTTAGAGTGCATATATGTGTTTAGGGCGGTTTGTAGTTTAACGTTACGTCATTATATTTGAGCAGTTGAGATTCTATTCTTTGGGGAAGTTGACATCCTGTGGTGTGACATGCTACACTCCATCTAATTTATGTCATACTCGCATATTAATTAAGAGGCTACAAAGAATATATGTACTTTTAAAATTCTTCAAACCCTATGAGCATTTAAAATAAACTAGTAAACCCAAAATGGTGATTAAAATGAGGGAAAACATAAATCGTTGAAAAGTTACAGCGTCTAAACTTTACATTCATGCATTTACATACATTTTACCCTAAAATTACTAAACAAGTTTAGTAAAAAAAAAAAAAAAGTCCATGAGCACGCTATGCGTCAACACCCATTTATCAAACGTCACCCAGCTTCCTGGTTTTGCGTGACTCAGGTGTCATTCAGATTCACCTCTTCAAACTTTCACTATAGATTAATAGTACGTCGTACGACGCAAATAACAGAAATAAATAAGAAAATATGTTCGGAGTGTTTATATTATATTCACAAAGCAATTCGGTCAGTTATCGTCGACCTAGTTTTCACGTGATTCCATTACGTCACGTATTTGCAGCGAGGCGGTGTATACAGGTGTGAGTGACGTATACGTTTTATTTTGGGAAGAATTTATAACTGCGCTTCATGCTTTATTTCTTTATCTATAAACCAGCAGCTGATCTTTTGCTTTGAAAGAGTTGAGGAAATGGCTAATTAATTTGTTTAACAAAATCAGATTTGCTGCATCATGCTTTCAGCACTTCATTTTGTCCCCTTTTATATCCATTGTTTTGGTCTTGCTGAAATGTTTATTTATATGAATTGGGAAATTGTTAGAATTTATTATTTACCTTCTATGATACCATAAGACTAACATTATTATATTATTTTTAATATTGAGAAAAGTAACAAAACTATGTATTTTAATTCTACTTAAAACTGTTGACTTTCATATGAAGAATTAGGCCTTATTTTCCCAGTCAGCGGTTAGATTCTGCATTTCATCTGTGGTTTAATGTAGTTGAGTTAATGTAGTGACTGGGACTTGCGCCATCTGGAGAGTGAATGAGAAGTGTGTTGAATAAGCTTTTTGTTTGCTGCTTTGTAGCCATGCTCAATGGTCAAGATGAATGGCCTGCTTTGTAGCTCCTAGTTAGACTGGTGTTTGGTTTGTATGACGAAGAGCCCCTTGGGCACAACCATCAGCGGTATTCCCTCTCGAGTCTACACTCATGTTCTTTTTATAGAGCCGAGAGGCAAGAAATAGCAGATAGAAAACATATGGAGTAGAGGTGTGGGGAAATGCTCTTCTTTCCTTCCAGGAAGGAAATGTTTTTGTCACTAGTTAGCTCTGTAACAATGAGGCTGAGTAACATCATTAACATCATTTGCTTCTTGTGTCAGACTGACAGTCACATGAGAATGCTGTCATGGCTAAATTTTTTGTCATTATGGTTTATGTTCCATCTAAAGAAACTAAAGCGTTTTTCCTCACACTTTCCATTTTAACAGCTTTTCTCATTGTTTTTCTCTCTCCCCTTTAGATATTATGATCAGCTCTGTGCAATTGAACCCAAATTTCCTTTTACAGAGGTAACCTAAATAAATATTAACCCATCCATTTGTTTTATGACAATAATTGATTATAATAATATAGAGTAATTTGAGCATATTCATAAGTCTGTAAATAATACATAACTGTTTTTTTTCCAGTTATGTCTGACATTTACATGGAAAGATGCTTTTGATAAAGGATCTCTTTTTGGAGGCTCAGTCAAGCTTGGTGAGTTGATATGTGATTTTAAAGCAAAATAAGCACGTCAGTACAAACAAATGCACCTAAGGTGAAATTAATTTATTTGTGTTACATACTTCAATGTTAAACATTAGTACTTTCGATTGCACTACAAAAGTGCCCTATGAGTAAGTTGTTTTTAAGGCATTTGTTGTCTTGGTAGATGCTTTATTGCAGATAGTTGTATATAGTTTGTTTAAAACAATTATCTATAATATCTATATTATTTATAACAATTATGTAAATACCTTTGGAGTATGCATCAATAAATATTATATTTCTGTCATCCATATTCAAGGAAAATATGAACTAATTTGAAACCGAGCACATTTTTATAAAAGTTTCGCTTTTATTTTTAATGTTTCTATATGAAGTTTGACATGCTGAAAACAAATATCACTTTACTTTTTGTGTATCATTAACGGTGCCTAAAGAAATATGTTGACAACTTATAGAAGCTAATCTGTTATTACTCATGCATAAAACTTACATGATACATGCATAACGCTGTGCTAACAACAATTTAACCTAAACAGTTACCAAAAGCGAGTCTTCCAAAACTTCAGAAGTGTACATTGGATGATTTTTGTCTTTTTATGACTAGTCCCACAATGTTCTGAATCTGGAATGTTCCAGAAAGCTCTAGAATATTACAGAATGTTACAGAAATTTATTAGAATTTTCCCATCCTTGTAAAAGCAAAATGTCTTTAAAAAAATAGCAAACTTATCTGTACTAAACCAGTGTTTCATAATTAATGATAGAAGTTCAAAAATTGACCATACCTAAATATTTACCTAAATATTGATGATGCATGCAAATAAATAGTCGTTAATAACTAGCACCACAGAATTACAGAAGAACTATTAAAAAAAAGTAAGCGAAACAATTTTGTTACATTGAGTTATTGTGTTTGCACATAAATAATGTTATCTCCAGTAGTTCCATAACTTAATCACATGACTCATTTGCATACTTTATTTATTACTTACTACTACATGTTACCACTTATTTCTCAACTTTTTTTAATGCAGAGTGTCCTGATTTCTTTTACTTTGTTGGTACTTTTTTTTGTTTTGGACCATATCGTGTTTACAGATGCATGATAAATCTCTTTTTTATTCATGTGAAATTA